CAAATCTTAGTTGTATATTTTTTTTATTTTTGATTGTCGATTGCACCTATAATTGAGGTGACATCTGCCATGAACTTTTGTCAATTGTTCAATGTTTTGTATCGATGATCACTTTGTTGGTGCAACTTAATAAATAAATAAATAAATAAATAAGATAGCTGGTTTTTAATACGCTTTTATTAGCTTCAGACGTATGTATGTAACGGAATCTTTGAACATGATTTTGACCTCCTTCAAAACATCGGATTAACTCGAAATTTGGTATACTTATTAAGGACCGATGACAATTCAATATTAAAAAACAAATGATACCATACACCCCACGCTTTTTTTAAAATAAAATAATTTTTTCTTACACTACTTTTAATTCAAATTTATTAAAATTTATTTTATATTTTTTAGTTGGATTTTCTGTAAAAGCGTTATTGTTAGATTTTGAAACTTTTTTTTTTTATTAAATAAAAATATTATTTGGACGTTAATTAACTTCTATTTTTAGTTGTCTCTTGGAATTTGGATTATTTTGTTATTGCTTTTATGGATGGGTGAGCTAACGGCCCACCTGATGTTAAGTGGTTACCTGAGCCCATAGACATCAACCATGTTAATGTTGACAGCCACCTGGAGACATGAGTTTTGAAGTCTTCGTTTTAACAGTATAACGGCTACCCCACCTTACAAACCGAAACGCGTTACTGCTTCACGGTAGAAATAAGCATGGTGGTGGTACCTACCCGTGCGGACTCACAAGACGTCCTACCATCAGCACACCCACCACATTACTAGTCAAACACGGTTATAGATTGCATACATGAACCTTAGAACAACAACTTTTAGTGGTAGTAGGACCTTCGAACGAGATTCAGGCATCTGTCAAATATCTTGTGTCCTGTGATGGCTACCTGCCACAAAAGGTTCTGAAACGTCCCGGTACAGCAGCCCGTCGGGCCGCCCAGACGGTACCGCTGGTGTCCCGGAATACCCGGCAGAACCAGAATCAACCTGCCGTGTCGGGACGCGATACACCACCAACCGGTTGCTCCTTTTAACTAAAAGATATTACTCCATGGCAGCGCGCTAAAGTGCTGGTAGCCGCCGCAGGTCCTCAACCCCCTCAGATCGCCCCGTGACCTTCACCGGGGGCTGAATACCGCCCTGCCATCATTACATTCACAGTTTTTTTTTAATATATTATATTAGCTTCACTGAGCGTGTATAATACAGTAGGAACACGGGGTTTAGCCTGACGAATTCAACCGCAGACATACATATTAAATGCTTTATAAATCACCAACGATATGTGATTATAAGAAAGTTTTATTTTTAGAAATGACATGAAATAGATTCAGCGAGTTTTATAAAAATAAACTGAATATAAATAGCAAAATTATAAAAATAAAGTAACAAAAGAAGAAAAAAAAGGTGGTTCAAATAATGTATACTATATAATATATCTGACGAACAAACTGGATTTGAAGACGATTTTAGCACGAGTCAGTAAAAAGCTAAAGCTACAACGACCATATAGTATCTTGACATGACTCGCGACTTAAGTATGCATATCAAGTTTACAGATCGATCCGTAGATCACATTCTTATACGACTAGACCGTAGATCTAGTCTGGTAAGGTACACCTCATAACACGCGATATAGCTGAAGGAGCATATGAAATTCTTTAAACTTTAAACTTTGATTCACAATATAATGACACGGTGTTTGATTTTAGCACAAAATCGACCTCTTTTATCGCTTTTACGGCATCGTACATACTCAACAAATGTTCACGATTGACTTCCACGGTGAAGGAATAACATCGTGTAATAAAAATCAAACCCGCAAATTTTAATATGCGTTAATTTGCGTAATTACTGGTGGTAGGACCTCTTGTGAGCCCGTACGGGTAGGTACCACCACCCTGCCTATTTTTGCCGTGAAGCAGTAATGCGTTTCGGTTTGAAGGGTGGGGCAGCCGTTGTAACTACACTTGAGACCTTAGATATCTCAAGGTCGGTGGCGCATTTGCGTTGTAGATGTCTAAGGGCTTCAGTAAGCACTTAACACCAGGTGGGCTGTGAGCTCGTCCACCCATATAAGCAAAAAAAAAAACTATGTGTCGCGCCGCAAATTTGATGGCCGGTAATCATTAATAGCTACGCAAACATGTACATTTCATAAATTTGATTTTTACAATAGGATATAATGCCTTCAACGTGGAACTTCTTCGTTAGTACCTGTCAATTACGTATTGCCTTAGAAAATTTTGTACCTGCCGGTGGGATTTGAACATAGACACAGTTCTATCGCTTGATACCCGAACATCTTAACCTATAGGCCACGAAAAATTTCGCTATCAAGCTTGATTGTGCTCTGTTTTATTAACAGGTAGATGAGTATACGAAAACTAGACCATTCTTAAAACAAGGACCGATTGTTTTGCGGTGGAAAAATCCCCCTCCTGGCTGAGCCTTTGCTCGCCCACCTGTCCTGGTGAAACTGGAAAGGCCTCTGGGCCACCAGTAATCCCTCATTCATAAAAAAAAGGTAGAGATAGAGCTTCGGTACTTAACGCGGCGCGCTACCAGCACTCTAGCGCGCCGCCAAGGAGTATCCATCTGATAAAAGAGCAACCGGTTGGCGGTGTATCGCGTCTCAACCCGGCAGGATGGTTCTGATTCAGCAGGGTATTCCGGCACGGGGACTTCGTAGGAGGTCCCGCCCAAAGCCAGAAAAAAAATGAACTTCGGTACCTACCCATGCGGGCAGCCCAACCAGCCATCAGTGTTTACAATGATATTTAAAATGACCCTTTACATTAAATTAGCTATAAGCTACCGATCAAACCCTTAGGAGACTTGAAACTGAACCACAGTACAGTGCAACAAAATTTCGCCTTTAAAGCCCATGTAAATACAGGCAATTTTCAATTATAGTGTAATTAATATTGAAGTGATGTCATTTCAACGAAGCTTAACGGAAAATGAATGTTGTCACAATAGATACAGAGGTGATTTTCCCGTGCGTGGGGCGCTATAAGAGGATTGCCTTGTTTGTACTTTTACCTAAAATGTACTCGTAATAAAAGCAGAATTAGTGCGTCTTTACTCGATGGGTTGCTTGAAGAGTTCAATGGTTTTATTTTAGCTCAGAAGGGTGGGCCACACTGCTCGTCTGGTGCTGGTGATATCCAGTTTCGAGGGATTACAACACTCCCTATTACCAGGCTACTATGTATCAACACCACCAGTGCAGATATTATTTTTGAAACGTGTATATAAATAGACCAAATTTCTTATCCCTACTAATATATAAATGTGAATGTAAGTTTGTTTGTTACGCTTTCACGCGAAAACTACTCAACCGATCATCATGAAACTTTGTACACATATTCTTGGAGGTATTAGAAGTAACATAGGATACTTTTTAATAAGAAAAAAAAACATTTTTTTTACGAAAAATTAAAAAATTGTTTGTCAAAAAATCTCAAAATCTTGCTTCTTCAACGCCATCTAGCGGTTCAGTAATGAAGTTCCAATCCTGAGTACTGTAAATGAAGTCGCGGGTAAAATTTTGCGTTATGCCAAAGTAACTATTCCACGCGGACGAAGTCGCGGGCAAAAGCTAGTTTTTTATATTAATCGAAATTCTAGACCCTTTGTTATCAATTTAAAACATTCGAACATAGTCAATTGTTTTCTGTTAAAAGGAGATAAATTAGTTAAGTACAGTTAGTTGGCTGTTCGGTTTCTCAACTGTTTTTTTTTTTGGAATAGCTAGTATTTTCAGCAGTATCTAGTATTTCAATAGTGATTCTTGACAAGCCTAAGTGTTATCTCTGAATGTATAGCGTGCTCTTTCAGAACGTCAATATCGAATTTTTTTTTGAATAGCTAGTATTTTCAGCAGTATCTAGTATTTTAATAGTGACTCTTGACAAGCCTAAGTGTTACCTGTGAATGTATAGTGTGCTCTTTCAGAACATCAATAGCGAAAGTAATTGAAAATTAATTTAAGCTTTCAACTGTCAGTGATTTTGTGCTCATTATTGTCATTGATGAAGGCACTGATGGTGCTATTGAGGCCTTCCCACCAGAACGGATGGCCAATTTAGCCGAAATATATTAAATTGTTGTATGTTTATTTATGCTTACAAAGCCATATGTAATCTATATAAGTACTTATATTTAACATTATGTGTATTCTATAATAATGAGATGTTACTTTAAGGAATCGTTTGGAACCTCTGGGTCTACGGAGGGACTTCGGTTCCCTCTGTATTTTATACCGTATGTTCCATGGGGAGTGCTCTGAGGAATTGTTCGAGATGATACCAGCATCTCGTTTTTACCATCGCACCGCCCGCCACCGGAGTAGAGTTCATCCATACTACCTGGAGCCACTGCGGTCATCCACAGTACTTCAAACGAGGCTTGTGGAGAGTATTAAGCGGTAGGCAGCGGCTTGGCTCTGCCCCTGGCATTGCTGAAGTCCATGGGCGACGGTAACCACTCACGATCAGGTGGGCCGTATGCCCGTCTGCCTACAAAGGCAATAAAAAAAAGGAAGATTTTTGTTTTGATTTTGTTCTTTTTTTGTTTTTTGTTGTTGTTTGTTATTCTTTTGTTAATGCACCTACCATGCATTATCTCTGCACCACCCTATGGTCGACTGGAAGAGAATGCCCATGGCATTATATTCTCAAGACTAGATGGACCTTTTCTGAATCATTGTAGAGAGGTCCACAAAATTTTCTCGTAATGCCGCTATTGCAATCGTATGTAGTGTGTATGTTGTTGTTTTCTTTTATTACTGTGTCCTTACTAACTTATTTTTAAGAAATAACTGTTACTAACATTTATATGGATCATTATCTGAAATAAAGAATTTAATAATAATAATTAAGTCCGCCTGTGTACAACTTTTGTTTTGTGCATAAAATATAAATAAATAATTACCCAAGATTCTTGTTTGGAAGAACTCTAACTTTAGTTTTTCAACTTACCAGAACTAACTGCACCATTGGTGTCTGAAACAACAACAACAAAAAATTATTTACCCAAAGCCATTTTGAGAGACACACGCAGACAAGGACATCACTCCGTAGGAGGACTTGTGATTCAACATTTTCTGAGCGTTTGTTTGGATGAAAAACGAGTCGAATTGTGCACAGCTGACAAATTAGCTAGCACGAGACAAAGGGAAGACCAACTTATTAGAATACCGTGCTTATTTTTAAAGAGAGAGAAATCATTCTGCTTAAGGTAATTTGAGATATACATAAGTTCTAAGGTCTCAAGTTTAGTTACAACGGCTGACCGAAGCGCATTACTGCTTCACGGCAGAAATAGGCAGCTCACAAGAGGTCCTACCACCAGTTGCTATTATTATTACGGCTACTTCTCGCTTCCTCGACGGCAAATTGCAATTTATCTCTTCTTAAACGCGGTTTCACGAAGTCTTAGTACATTTTAATTCGATATCAGCTTTATGAATTGTGACCTATAGCAAAAGTTGAAGATAATTTTTGCGAGAGATTAAACAATCTTATCTACATTGACATAATTTATTTAATTTGTGTTGTGTTGTAACAGTCGTTATAATAAATCGATTTTTTATATATTGGAACGAAGTTTTGGAACGAAGTTCCTTATGGGACAATGCGTAGGGGTACCCTAACCGGGAAAAAACGTCCGTAACGTAAGATTTTTATTAGTAATGCACACAGTGTACAACTTAACTTTGTAATAGCGTACAAAAAATAACATATTTCTTTATCATTCATTGACCACAATCTCAGAGCGTTCGTTTGCGCAATACACTAACTCTTATCCAAACAACCGTGAATGAAGTGTACCACAATAAGTTCGCACGTTACCGAATGACCGTGGGTTGTTGCGAAGCCTCCAGTTTTATTTTCTTTATACCTCGAATAGAACTTAAAATTAATATTTTTATAATAAGGAACTTCGTTCCTATCCGGTGTCCCACGACACCACACATCTTTTTTATTTATTTACTAGCTGACCCGGCAGACTTCTGCTATCGCCTCAATCGATATATAAAAGACCTACCTAGTTTTGTATAAAATAAACTTAAAACAAACAAACGGAATCCGTCCGACGGTGGACACATCAAAGGAAAAACGAAATTGTTATTTTCATTTAATTCCGAGAATTTTCATATTTATTTATCTTTTGAACCTTCTCTGGACCTCCACAAATAATTCAAGACCAAAATTAGCCAAATCAGTTCAGCCGTTCCCGAGTTTTAGCGAGACTAACGAACAGCAATTCATTTTTATATATATAGATTTACCCTTCGACGGCCATAATGAAGTAATTATGTCGATTTCTGTTACAAGTCTAAGCCACTACTCGAAGTCAATTACCTAAAGATGCACTATTAAATATGTCTCAAAAAATACTGTTAAAATGTTAATAATGGGATGGAATGGTGAAATCATCAAAAAATGTTCACAAAATTTTTTTTGTAGAATCATGTTTATGTAATTTACAAGTTTATGTAATATTTAATAAATATATGTATGATTCATTATAATGAAATTTACAGTTTTTATTTTGACAATTTATCTAAAACAAAAAAGAATCGAGATCAAACTCATTCCGTCAACACACTGACACATTTTTTGTCGCAAAACCCTGATAACGAAATTGTTTATCCACATAATACTAATATAAAACTGTGTGTAATGAAAAGTACACTTTTACCTTTTTTATTATTATTTAATAATTATTTTATTTAATATTACGATAGTAATAATATAATTGTAATATTATTTAATAATTTAATGTTAGTTAGCGTATACTGTATAGAAATTAAAACAAAACAAAAAAGCGTACGAACACGAATTTTTTATTTTTTTTATTGGCTTTGTAGGCAGACGGGCATACGGCCTACCTGATGGTGAGTGGTTACCGTCGTCCATGGACTTCAGCAATGCCAGGGGCAGAGCCAAGCCGCTGCCTACCGCTTAATACTCTCCACAAGCCTCGTTTGAAGAAGGACATGTCATAATAACTCTGGAAATATCTGGGGCTTTGTTCTCTTAGCTCTTGTGGGTGGATAGCGCTCACATTATCACGCTCCACGGTAGGCACTTAAAAAAATTATTACCTCTTGCGAAAACTGATGAAAATCCAACGGGGCTAGATGGTGGTCTATAAACATAAGTTTTTCTTGTTGCACTCTCTACTTTGTATACCAATGATAAGAATATAAACACCATATTCGTATTATTTTTTTATTGCTTAGATGGGTGGACGAGCTCACAGCCCACCTGGTGTTGAGTGGTTACTGGAACCCATATACATCTACAACGTAAATGCGCCACCCACCTTGAGATATAAGTTCTAAGGTCTCAAGTATAGTTACATCGTAACTACAAGTAGTTACAGGAAATGTAGTGTATATCTTCTGTAACTTACAATACAGGACTTAATTAATACGTATCTGTTTAATATCAAATAAATAAAATAAGATTTAAATAATGGATATAAATTGTAACTATACTTGAGACCTTAGAACTTATATCTCAAGATGGGTGGCGCATTTACGTTGTAGATGTCTATGGGCTTCAATAACCACTTAACACCAGGTGGGCTGTGAGCTCGTCCGCCCATCTAAGCAATAAAAAAAAATACAAATAATTTGTGACTTGATTAAAACTATTTCTACCGTTATTTAAATTAATTTTAAAATTTGGTTATATCTGAATTAATTTGCCTTTTTCGTGATCGGAATTAACCGTAAAAGTATTTTTAACTGTGTCTCTGAGTCGACAAAAACATTAAGGATTATTTGCTGATTTCTGTTTTATACTAGCGATGCCTGGTCGCACTGTGTTCTGACTAAAATCGATAGATAATTAATCATATGATTCTCGTTACTACCCGCCTACCGACCAACTTCTTCTTCTTCTTTTTCTCCACCTTATCCCACTAGGTGGGGTCGGCACAGCTAATTTTTCTCTTCCATTCTCTTCTATCAGCCGTCATCTCAACACTCACTCCTCTCTCTCTCATATCGTCATTCACACACTCCATCTATGTCTTCTTCGGTTGACCTCTTCCCCCTCTACCTTGCACTACCATTTCCATACATCTCCTAGTCACATGCATCTTCTCTCTATGCATCACATGTCCATACCACGCTAACCGACCAACATGGTGTATTTACCAGAAACCTGAAGCTCTAACTACAACTTTCCAAAGTTTTAACCCAATGAGATGAATATCAATCGAAACAACACGAAATAACAGAACTATGAATGTATTTTTATTGGATGCTACATTAAAATTAATATAATTTGAAAAGTTTTGTAAAGGCGTTCGAAAATTAACTTGTCATAAAAGTTTGAGAAACGCTGAGTAGTGATTATTATACATACATTCTAATTTAGAATTGGCATCATTTATAGCATCAATTCAATTAGTTTCTCCTCTAGTATCATGTTAGTAGAATGATTCTAAATCATAAATTAGGAGTTTTAGGATTAGATCAGTCATTATTCTAGTTCAGTCTTTTGGAAATGAAATTTCAAGAATATCTTTCATTGATCAATCATTATACATAGGACCTTGTTAATCAGAATTTTAAGTAAATTTTATCTTATATCCAAATTCAAGTTTTAACCCAATGAGATAAATATCAATCGAAACAACATGAAAAAACCGACCTATGAATGTATTTTTATTGGATACTACATTAAAATTAATATAATTTGAAAAGTTTTGCAAAGGCGTTCGAAAATTAACATGTCATAAAAGTTTGAGAAACGCTGAGTAGTGATTATTATACATACATTCTAATTTAGAACTGGCATCATTTATAATATCGATTCAGTTAGTTTCTCCTCTGGTATCATGTTAGTAGAATGATTCTAAATCATAAATTAGGAGTTTTAGGATTAGAACAGTCACCTTTCTAATTCAGTCTTTTGGAAATGAAATTTCAAGACTATTTTTCATTGATCAATCATCGATTATACATAGGACCTTGTTAATCATGATTTTAAGTAAATTTTATCTTATATCCAAATTCAAGGCAGATGGAAATCGGGCTAACGATTTCAGTTTTCACCCTGTAGAGACGAAGGTGTAATAATGTATTGGTTTTTGAAGATGATGAACTCAGGTCAGACTCAGTGTCGTGTACCAGATGCCTAAAGACGCTAATTGAACAAAGACCTCACGCTTTTATGCTAAAATAAAAGAAATTAATTTGGCAACATATCTATTTATTTTTTGGCACCTCCAAACCTTCAGAGTGTTTTTTTTTTATTGCTTAGATGGATGGACGAGCTCACAGCCCACCTGGTGTTAAGTGGTTACTGGAGCCCATGACATCTACAACGTAAATGTGCCACCCACCTCGACATATAAGTTCTAAGGTCTCAGTTTAGTTACAACGGCTACCCCCACCCTTCGAACCGAAACGCATTACTGCTTCACGGCGGAAATAGGCGGGGTGGTGGTACCTGCCCGTGCGGACTTCCAAGAGGTCCTACCATCAGTGTCTGATGGATCTTCTCAGTTGGTCGCGATTCCGATGTGGTGGTAGATTCAGCGAGCCATTGCTCTTGCTAGGGCAGGTGTTAGCAAGCTCTTTAAGGTTGAGTCACGGTGAAACCAGAATAGACCCTCGAGCCCTATGTGGTAGGTAAAATTATAATTTGCCTAATTACTGGTGGTGGGACCTCATGTGAGTCCGCACGGGTAGGTATCACCACCGCGCCTATTTCTGCCGTGAAGCAGTAATGCGTTTCGGCTTGAAGGGTGGGGCAGCCGTTGTAACTATACTGAGACCTTACAACTTATATCTCAAGGTGGGTGGCGCATTTACGTTGTAAACGTCTATGGGCTCCAGTAACCACTTAACACCAGGTGGGCTGTGAGCTCATCCACCCATCTAAACAATAAAAAAAAAAGGTAAGGAAAAAGGGCAGTCGCAGGACAAAAAAAAAATACGTAATCCAACAAGTGAACACGCGACACATCCTCAACTCTT